CAAGATCAGTGAAAACTCAAAGTTGAGAGCATCTAATCAAGGGGAAACATCACGGAAGTCACCCAAGGTAAATCGCAACTCGTACATTCATCAAAATCAGTTAAAACTCAAAAGTTGAGAGCATCTAATCAAGGGGAAACATCACGGAAGTGTCACTAGGTGAATCGCAAGTTACCCATGCACCCAAATCAGTGAAAAATCACAATTTTGAAGGGAGGAAGGAGATGAGAAAGGGGGGAGGAGAAGAAGGGGAGGAAGAGAGGCAAAGGAGGGAGATAAAGAAGGAGAAGGGGAAAGGGAGGAGAGGGAAAGAAGAAGAGGGGGAAGGAGAAGAAGAGGAAGAAGAAGAAGAAGAAGAAGGAGGAGGGGAGAGAAGAAGAAGGAGAGGAGGAGAGAAGGGAGGACCGTCCTCCTCTTTCACTCACCTCCCACTGGTCTCTTGGTCAATGGTCTTCCAGGCTTGGCTCTAGTTCCTTGAGCATAGCTCTCCCTCCTCCCCAAGTCCTCCCCTTCTCTCACGCTTCTCCCCTAGCTATGGCAGGCTCCTACCTCTAAGGTTGTGGAGTTTTTCCCTCTAGAAGGGCTAAGGGGACCCCTTTCAGCCTTTCCTCCTACTTCACAGCCTGAGGGCTATGGCGGACCACTCTCCTTGCTCCCTTCTAGCCTCTAGGTCACCTTTCTCAGTCTCACCACCACAACCAGGCTACAGGCTAGCTCCAACCCTCACTCCCTTGCTCTATCTCACTAGTACTCACTCACGGACTCATTTGGGCAGCATGGGCACCTCTCATGCTCAAATGAGAGTTGCGGCCTACACCTCCAGCTTATGTAGGCTGGAATAGGTGCACCGCCCACCCTCTAGGCCCTTCCAAGTGCCTCTAGGTGGAGCGAGGTACCCCAAGGGCCAAATTTTCAGTTTTGGCCTACCTGGAGGTACCTGGGCCTCAATTTGGCCAGGTACATGCAGTCCGAGAGGCCGGTACCTCCTCGGACTACCCCTTGGCCTACCCCGGCCTCTTTTCATCTCCAAAGGAGCTGCCTTTTGGGGTACCAATCCCCAAGGTGCAGTCTTTGCTGAAAATTGAAGGCCTAGAGGCCCGTTTTTCATCTTTTTCTTAGTCTAGGCCTCTTTGGAGTAGGCCGTTGCATTTTCCAAGTGGCGGCTCCAATCTCAGCCTTGGATCTGGCTGAGATCCATGGTCCTCATCATTCCGAGCCACTTCCAAGCTCCCCTTGCCCCAAATTTGAGCCTTTACTTCAATTTTCCCTCTTTTTGATGTATCTGGCCCAGTCCTTGGGCCAGATACGCAGTTTTGTCTTGTTCTCCCCTTTGTTTTCCCTCCATTTTGCTGCCAACTCATTCCGGAGCTAGCCGTTTTGTGTCAGCCCACAAAAAACGGCTAGATCTCCTCTTCTGCAAGATCAGATCTCAGATCTAAGGTCCAAAAATGAGCCGGCCTACTCACATCAGCATTTTCCCTTATTTTTGTTGCTTTAATTCAGATATTGCAGAGATAATGCCCCAAGGGCCTTATCTCTGCAATCCGGACTGCACTCCTAGGATCTAGGAGGGATGAGGTCATCATTGGGACCTGCCCATCCCTACTGCTGCAGTCCCAACCTGGCGGCACTTTTTYCTCCACTCATTCCTCCTCCTTTGTCTCACTCTCCCCCTTTTCTCTCTCCTCTTTCTCTCATTACTGTTGGGACAAGTGTCCAACAGCTATTTCTTCTTTTTCTGGCTGTTGAACCTTTCCCAAGGTCTGATTTTGCAGCCGTCATATGGCCGTTGCACCCCGGACTGCAGTAACGACACCCCCAAGGCCAAAGGGGGCTCCTTTTTTTGTTGCCGCTGCTTCCAGTTTCGAGACCCCCTTTGCTCCGATTTTTCTCCAGCCAGCCTTTTCTCCATGTGGGGCCCTCGGAACTTTGTTTC